CCTTTACACACATGTATGCAGGGGGGGAGCAGCCAAACCCACTATTTTTGTTGACTTTTGATTGGATGTTTGTGCATTTTATGTGAACAGCCATGCAATCGTTTAAACTATATTTCAAGCGAAATTGCTTGCAGATTTAATCTCATAATACATATTTTTTACAAATTTTATATGGAGGTATGTCCCCTGACTCCACACATTAGCATGCTTTGCATACCGATTATGCTTCACACAATATGTTATGGCTTTTAATCTCACAAATAAGAACTCCCCTTTCAAACATTCTACATATGGGCATGTTTTAGTAACTTATTTGCAACTTTAATGGATTCAAGTTCAATCTCCAACTGAAAAGCTTCATTTAAAGATGTACATCCACTTCCTCCAGTCTGATTTTCACATCCTTCTGTGTTATGGAATCTGTAAATTGGCCACAGGCCCACAAATCCATCATTTCAGGTGGATGTTCAAGTAAGGTAACTTGGCAAATTTTTACAAATCTTCTGCGTTTTTGGAAAATATCTCTTCTTTCATCCATGCCCTGTTTGAAAACTTTGCTTTAAATACTTCTTTCTGGTGCAACACTTCAAAGCTGTTCGAGAAAGCAGCAATGAATTCAATGTAGTTGTTATAGTTTACAGCTGGACGGTTACTTAATGTTGTCAAAGCTGACTCTTTTAGCAAGCTGAGTGGCTTGTTGTTCATTCCACCTGTTCACTCTAGAAATTATTTCAAAGTGAGCTTGGTATGACTGCCACAGTACCTTACCGTCATACTCTGTTGGTTTCTTTATTGGTTGATGTTGAATTGGTCAGCTACATTCTGAAACTGGATTTGTAATTTCATGGCTGGATAGTCCAGAAAGGTCCTTCAGTAACAGGTGGCGCAGCAGTAGTTGTAATAGGCGTAGACTAAATAAATTTTCCTATTCTATATTTTATAAGTGGTGGTGTTTGAGGCTAGAACTCCTGAGCCAATGCAGAAAGATATGTGGCTGGTTTAATTTATTACTTTTAATAATTCGTTTTCCACATGTTTTATTCTGTCATTGATGTTTTTTCTACCTCAATGATGATCTTTTCTAACTCTTTGATGTCTTTACATTGTTCATGACTTTTTTGTACGTTACTTTTGACTTTGTCAGTGACCTTTTGTACTGTTCAGTCTTGTCACTACAACTTTTCCATACTTTTTCAATCCTCTTAATTCAGTCTCTCAGTACATCTCCAAAAGATTCATCAATCTTATCTTCAATCAGGGTTATTTTCATTTTTAATTGTTCTTTTCTTTTAATAGTACTAAATGGTACGTCTCTTTCTTTTAATTCCTCCAATAAATGTTTGTCATGCTGTCATATTCTCCTAAATCTCTCTCTTCTTGATCTTGTTTTAATTATTTTTTTGCCTCATTCTACCAGATCTACTTTTAACTTTCTATCTCTTTCCTTTAATTTCCTGTCACTTTCTTCTTCTTTTTTTTGTGAACGTTTTGTCATTTTCTGTTTGTTCTTCTTTTCATTGTTTTATCTTATTTACCAGGTTTCTCATCTCACTCTGTGCTCTTGTGATAAACTTGAACGAAAATTGAAGTTTAGTCAAAGTTCTATTTTATTTTCACTATAATAATCCCACGTATTACACCAGTGTTGTAATGTCGTTTTTTCATTGGGAAATTATTTTAAATTATATGGTGAAAATAATTCAAAGCCTAGGCTATATAACATTAACAGATTAGTTTTATTTCCTCCTTAACGTTTCTTTACAGGACTGTACAATTTATAACTTGTTGTAGGCCTATGTTTACAACTATGCCGCCTGCACTAAACTAACGTAAAAATAAATTTACTTGCAAAAATTAATTCAACATGTGCGATAGCAAATAACTATTTTCCTGATGTTTTACTATTTCACTGCAAGCTTATCATATTTTTAACTATCCTTCCACTATCTTACCGATTCTTCAATGACCCTGTGTTTATAATCTGCCCTTCTAGATATTTCACAAACCCTCTGTTTATTAATATTCCTCATTATTCTAGGGCTTACTAGATGCGCCCTCTAACTAACATCAAAATTACGACATTAAAATTATACCTTACAGCACTATTTTTGGAAGTAGTTAGCTTTCTGGTTGACGGTATATTTGTTTAATTTCTTATGTGATTCATTTGTTATTAAGGGTTCTGCATCCGACAAAATCATGAAACCACATGTCGCTGAGTGCATGAATATTTCAGAAAAACATGTTTAAAAAGTTACGGATTCACATAGTATTCACTGGTAATTTTGAGGTTAAGTATTTAGTATTATTGCGTGTACTACAACAAAGTTAGTAAGTGGTCACTAAGCAAGATTAAGTTAAGCACTAAGTTAATGCTTTTTTATTCATTTATAACTTTGGAGTATACAAATATAAATTTGACAGAACCTATACATATATGTTGATTATTAGCTGTTTCTACTTGGATGTAGAACGTTCTGGAACCGATGAATATAAAAAATACTGATAATATAATTTACAAATATAAAATACTGATGTAATTTATTTGACATTGAACAATTATTTTTTAGTAATCTCTTAGATGGTAGAAGTAGTATGGGTTTAAAGTTTAGTCTATCAGTTACGCGAATAAAATAATAGGAGAAAAATTACGTTAAAAACAATATGATTTGTGTTCGGAAATAAAAGTGTTATGTTTGAAAAATTATAACACAGTTTTAAGTTAAAACAACACAGTTATTGAGGATTAACAAAACAGGACACAGATGTGTTGGGTGATACACAGTCTTTGCGCCGTGTTTTATACAATATACATGTACCTAATAATAATGTGACGTTACAAGCACAAATAACCATTGTGTAACTTTGTTTTTAACAACAAACAAACAGAAAAATGAACACAATTTTGAATTGAAAACTACACGTCATTTGCATTATTAAAAAGCATAAAAACTTGTGTTTATATCGTTAAAAAATTAATTGTGTTATAGTTCACGTGAATCTGTGTTTTGGAAGCATAATGTGTGTTGTGAAATAACAATGTTTGTGTTATTTTCAACAGTGTTTTTTTGTTGGTATTTTAAAGGTAGCCCTTCGTGTAGCTTTGTGCGAAAATTCAGAAACAAGTACTTTATTCCAATCAGTCTGTTTAAATGGTCAGAACAAGTACTTTGTTACAATCAGTCTGTTTAAATGGTCAGAAACAAGTACTTTATTACAATTAGTCTGTTTAAAGGGTCAGAAACAATTACTTTATTACAATTAGTATGT